AGGTCACTAAGTACCAACACCATATGCAGTAGATATCTAGGTTACTACCCTAAGCTACTAGTAGTGGGTGCGAGGGAGGGATATGTACTCACCGGAGGGGCATTAGGGTCATCCACAAGGTCACTTAGTACCAGATGTTTCATTGGATAACGACTGGTGTCAACAGATGTGGTTGATTCCTCATCTATAACAAATGAGAAAGGAACAATTAAGTAGGTTATAATAGTCCCCTTCACAGTTCCATGAGCCATCTTGAAAGGTAGCCTTTGCATCGTCRTGAGACGAACGGTGAGCTTGCAATGATAGAGTCATGTGTTAAAAAAAAGGCACAGCTACCTTTCAAGATGGCATAGGGAACCATGAAGAGGACTATTGGACAGTGTTTTAACCATAACCCAAGAAGAAATCTAAATGCACATTGCAAGGGTACTATGCAATCCTTTACCATGTGGGAGGGGGGGTAGGGCTGTGTTTGTAAAGCTTTCCATGTGGTTAAATTGTCAAACATCCCCCCCCCCCTTAATTAATGAAAGCCCCCTAATATATCATAATAATGATATCTATACCAGTAATTATGGGACCCACCAAAGGTAAACAAAATGACGGTGTTAATGACTTTATTGGCATTAAAATCCATTTCTGCAGCGAAGAAGTCCTTGATTGCTTCCCAGATGAGATGCCACTTAGCAGAAGATGTATCTACTTGAACAATCTTATTCGCTTTGGTAAAATAATCCAGGAAATCTTTCACAGAGTTCTCATAAAGCTTGAAGCGCCGTTGAGTTCTTGCTGTGTCCATTTCATCTCCCTTGTCTGTTGAGCCATCTGTCTGTCCTGATCCAGGACTTGCGGCATGGTCAGGTTTGATACATGCATGACTTGTTTTGATGTTATCTAGTAAACTTTCTTTTGTCAAGGTCAAGTTAAGTACAAAGGCACAGGGAAACTAGGAATARATTCAAAAATTCAAAAATGTTGAATTCATATTGTGTACTAGTTCCAAAAATTATCCATACCCCCCTCATGGAGGAATTTTTTAAAGACACCCCCCTACCCCCCGGAAATTCCAATTTTCTTCCATACGAACTCTGTAATTTTTGTTCTTTCTCTGACCCCCCTACTCTTCGGAAATTCCAAATTTCTTTGTGGAGTGGGTATAGATGATTTCTGGAACAACACATTTGAAATTTTTTTATTACATAGTAACCAATATATTTCTTCTTGCACCGCTTCAATTCAAATCATTTTGATGTTTTTTTTTAAAATTAAAAATGTATATGTACATGTATATGTCAGCACATGACAATATGATGGTATATTAATATAATACTTGAAGATGAAGATGACTTCCGCTCAGGTTGTCAGAACGTCAGTCCCATCAAAGAGTCTTTCTCAGGATTAGATACACCCAGATGATCATAATACTTCAATAAACATTTGAGCCTCACCTGGTTTTCAAAATGAGCCATCTCCTTATCGCAATTCTTGATAAATGTCTTTACTCTCAACAGGAACTTGAGATTTGGAATTAAATCAACAAGTATAAGTCTACCCGGATGTTTCTTCACTTCATCGCCTACTAATGACAAGACATACTCTATCGTCAGCAGGTTTGGAAATTCTGCAATGCCTTTAGCAATACTGTGTGTTCCTGTTACTGGTTGGACTGTCTCTCCTTCCATTGCTTCTGCCTTGGCATGTTCATAGATTCTGGCAGGTAAATGCTTCAAGAGTAGAGTTTCAGCAGATATGAATACAAAATCAAACATTTTGATGAGGTCATTGATGATACATCCTTTAGTTGAACCAGGACCACCTAGAACAAGTAAAACAATATATTAATGATAAAATAAATTAAATAAATGAATAATTAAATAACGAAATGGGATTAACAGTGGCTACACAGAGTGGTTCTTCTTCCACTGCAAATTTTGTGGAAATAAAGCAATTTGTCAAAAGCAATTTGTCAGTACCAGCTGAGCGGTGAATGCTGGACGCAATTAAGCATGATGAGTGGACAAAATGACTGGTCCTAAGCAATATTGGAGCAGAAAGAACGAACCAAACATGCGGGTAAAGTGGAATTTTTTTCATTTTTCCCTTCCATATTTTCCATATTTTCTTCTTCTAGTAAGCACATTTCTTATGTTTTAGTCAAAAAAAAAAAAAAAAAAAAAAAAMCCGAAAAAGATGCAAACGCTGCCACAGTAGCCTTGGAATGAGGGCCAGCTGCGAAACAGCTACAAACACTGCTCAGCTGGTACATGTACCTTTTATATTTTTGACTGGCAGTGAAAAATAAAATTCCAATGGGGAACTCACTAGAGTTCAGGTAATATTGATAATTGCAGTGAGGAATTTAGGAAATATAGATGGAGATGACGTAACACAAGAAATGAAAGTTAGTTTCATTTGCCAAGTGTTAAAACAAATTGAGGAAAACAAAGGATATCTAATCAAGCCATGAAAGAATGGAACAACCTAAGTAATGATATCAAACTATGCTCTAAGATTTCTCAGTTTAAATCTAAATTTTTTGCCTTTAACAAATGCCTTTATCAATAAACTCGAATTTGTTACATATTACTGGTTTTACAGGAACCTCTTGAAAATCACTATAGTGAAGGAGCTAAATAAATAAATACCCCCCTCCCCCCTCCCCCCCTACCTCAAAAAAGTCCCTTTGAAAACAGGCCGGTCACTGCAAACAAGCTGCAAGATTTTTAATTTCAAATCAATTGCCAACTCTTGGAAAAAAACGTTTACCATATACCAATAACCTTATCATACCTACAACTAACTTTTATGAAATCTTGTTTATATTATATTACGAATAATGTTATTCCCATATGACTGATAATCTTACTACAAATAAAACTTTAAAAATTTTACAAGACGTTTCACATATTTTGAAGCTAATTTCCTAGCAAAGTAAACAAGTGTTTTTTTTTTAACAAGCGCTTGTCGTAAAAATACTAAAAAGTGAATTAAGTAAGGCCTTTTTCCCTCGATATTTTAGGGCAAGATTTACTGAACAGCTGTCCGTAAGAAGCCATTATTTAACCATTTAAGCCTTTACGACTGCTAGTCCTCGAGATATAGTGTAAAATAGTTTGAGTACAGCCAGCCATTGCCTCAGGCAGTATCCCAAATCATTTAGGATCTCTGAGATATTGGGATCAGTAATCTAAAACCATAATAATTATCATTCTCAATAAAAATATCAATCGTTAAGGATCGAAATTTATAAGTGAACAGCAGTTTGACTAGTCTGCCTAAACAAAGCCTTCCTTCACGGATGAACTGATCGAAGGAATAATATAAGCTTAATTGCCCAATAGTCTTTAACTGTGGGGGAAACGAAGCAGTTGGTGTGAAAAGATAAAGACAAGAATTAAAAGGAAATCGCTTACCGAAGATAAAAACAATGCGATTATCCTTGTTGAGTTTTTTGACTCCATCCCCGATTTCTACAGCAACTTCTGGCCGTTTTACCAGAGTATTTCTACGGGAAAAATCAAAGCTGGACACACTTGAGTCTGCATGGACAGTTGTGCTAGCTCCACAGCCCATTTTTTAGGCAAAATAGGCTTAAAATGTGAAGAAAATCACTACATTTTGAAAGTCAGTTGTACACGAGAAGTTATGATGTAAGGCCATGAATCTGCGCCTTCAATATGTTACCATGGTAACCATTGTGCTTGTCATCGGGTCCGTCCCTAAAGTGACTAGCGTGACAAACAGACCATTAGATTTTTGAGGGGGGTGGAGGCGGGGGGTTGGGCAAAAACCAAAAATAAATTCGAGCACAGCTTTTAAGAGTGAAAAAAAAATCGTGCATAAGAAAAGAGTCAGAAAACATTCCAAATAATGTCCAAAAAAATCCTGCCTAGCCATGAGGCGTAAAAATAAATCCTATACAAAATTAATTGCCCAACCYCCCCCCCMMCCCCCYYMAAAAAATCTAACGGTCCGTCCCTTTTTTATTTATTTTACATGATTGTTCTATGTTTATTTTAATGTTTTTTCCCGCTGTTTGTTTTTGGGAAGTGAATAAATTTGGAATTATAAACAATGTGGTTACCGACCTACATTATATTTCCCGTTGTCACTCGGCTGTCGAGCGGGAGTCAAGCACGAGTCACGAGTCAGTCACGAGATATCTACCAGTGAGGTTGTTAGGCGTCTTGGAGATAGTCGTTGTATTCCATCGTGCACAGCACAAGTAAGACAGCTACCGTGATGCTGTTAGCTGTGCTATTTAAAGTACTTCTGCTCCATCTATCTGTGAAACAAGTACTTGGATCAGCCCTGACGCAAGATGAGGTGGTGATAAAGGACCACGAACAAGGTGAGTTGTATTATACGCAATCATTTCTCCATTCCTCACAATCCAAATCAGTACATCCACATAACTTTAGCAAGAGTTTCTCTATGATCACTTTGATTAGTTAACGGATTTGTCTATGGTATTTCAATATTTCCGAAATTTCTTATTTCTACAATTATATACAAAGTATTTCACTTATATTGCATGAGAATTTTCATAGCGCGCATCATAATGGCATTTTTGGTATTGTTTATTCTCTCTAAATTTTTAACATATTGGCCATTTAGGTCCAGGTAATGCGCATTCGATCATACATATAAACATCTTAAAATATTAAAGATCGTTATTAGACATTTTTTGTGACCTGAAAGGTAATGCTTTTATAATAGAACACATAGGTAGCAAACAGGAAATATGGCGTGCCAGATGTTATCGAGATTAAGGTTTGTTTTTATATCAAGACGAAATGTTTATAGTTGTAATAACCTTTATTAGATAAGTTGAAAGTCAAGGTAAATCTTTTCAATACTCTTTATGCAAGCGTTAAATCTTTGCCGTGTTAATGTTACAATTATTGATAACGTTACCAAATTTTATGATCTAGGGGATTCCCCTAATTAAAATTCAGATAGCTTATGTATATGTAATAATTAGAGATAACTAGCTAAAAACTAGTGTGAGCTGCGTCGGTGTTTCTATTTGCTGGTTTTCGACCAAATCGCAGTCGGAATCAAAGTATGAAGCAGTATATGACGATGTGAAAACCAGAAAATGAAGTTGGAATCGGGTACGGAACCGGAGGGTTTCCGTTGTACTTCCGCTAATAATGACGAGTGGTTTTCATTTTCACTTTAGTGCATGAACTGAATGTGAAGTAGTTAAACTGCTGATTTAGTARTCTTACATAGTCTGTTATTTTATTGTTTATGTTTTTTGTTGCTTATTTACGCGGCCAGTATTACATCCCGAGTGCATTTATTTTTTCTTTGAGATAATAAGCCTGAAGCGAGACGACGTTTTACCCCCGACTCTATACCATAATAGTTTTTAAGATTCTTTCACATTAAAATTTTGGATTCCTTAGAGATTACAGGAACAATAGTCATAACTAAAGAACAAAAGCAATGTGAAAAGGATTATGGTCTAGAGACGGRGGTAAAACGTCATCTCGCTTCAGACTTATTGATACCAGACGTGTGGGCGACAGTGCATGTTATGACCTGCGGGCTGATGAGTTCAAATTGAACGAAAACGTTGTCTGAAGAGATTTATTATCAAAAGCTAAAACCACTCTGCTCAATATTTAGGGCATTTGGAGGGTGTTTTCAAACAGACACTATGATGGTGAAGTGTGACAATAAGCAATTTTTGGAAGACGTTAAACAAAATATCATTACAAGCCTTCTAATCCACAGGTAGCCCAAGCTTGGTTTCTGTGGTTTCATGTTATAAGAAAATCTATGGAGATTCTTCAAAAATTTTAATAAAATCTGTGAAACGTGAAATAAAGCCGCGAAATTTTACCTGATCATTGAGAAATAGCACTTCTTTTGCTCTGTGTGGTTATTTTTTAATTTAGTCTGCTTTAAGGTTTTTTACCACGTTTTATTTCTTACTGATGGGGGGAAAAATCCTAAAAACGGGCTAAATTCAAAGAGTAATCACACAGAGCAAAAGAAGTACTACCTTTCGATGATCAGGTAAAATTTCGAGTCTTTATTTCACGTTTTAATGATTTTATTAAATTTTTTGAAGAATTTCCTTACATTACTCATAAGTACACTAATATACTTATTACATGACACCACAGAAACCAAGCTTGGGCTACCTGTGTCTAATTGTAGTCTCCTACGCAGATGCTATTAAGGGACCGATCGTTTATTAGGTCACAGGGGGGAGGAGGACGGCAGTGGAAATACTGGGGGGGGGGTACGTTTTTTAAAACCAGTAAAAATTGGGGGTACATTTTTGTAATTGCCGATTTTGGGGGTGGGGAGTACGTATTTAGTGGTGGTGAAGGGGGAGGGGTACGTTTATCATTTAATGATTTTAGAGGGAGGTACAAATTTCATTTCATTTTTTGCGAAGAAACCACCTCCCTCCCCCCGGACGTAATAAACGATCGGTCCCTAAACCAGGCCCACTCCCCTAAGTACACAAAAGTGTTAAAAATTAATGATTTTTTCATCATTTCAGAGATTCCTTCGAAGCCTTCAGCATATATAATTGGTGGCAACCGTGCCACTCTGGTTCTTTGTAGAGAAAAAACGCATGAGCCTRTTAGATCTGATCGCCCGGCTGACACTAGTGAGCTTCACGTCAGATGCAAAGGCTTGAGGTTTGTACGCCATGTATTCCGTTTGATTTATTGATCATTGCCGAGTTTTATATCGAGTGGGAGGTCTGTGGAGACCTGACAGCCGCTTAGCAGACTGGATAAAATGAGCATTTTTGACGTATGTATTTTGTATAATAGCATTGAGCTCAGCGAATAAAGCCCTATTATTTTGACCAAATMAAGTTAAAATCAATGGGAAATATAATAGATACATTAAATCAATATGAACGTCTAAAATGTGCAAAACTGACGAAGTCGATGGTAATCAGAATCTTAACACAAATACATATATTTTAAATTAAATAAGATTTACAATCAGTTTCTTTGTTTTATTTTATTTACAATATTCATATATTTTTAAATATTCATAATCATATTTTTTATTGTTAAAATACCTCTTGATAGGGGGTTCAACTCAACTTTTTATTCAGTGCCATGATTTACGATAATACAAAAAGTTAAAAGAACAAGCTCATTGATTGCGACAGATAAACTGACTGAAGCAATTAGCTGAAAATTTGAAAATTTACATTTTTAGGTCAGGCACTGAAAAAGAGGGATTGGGTTGGAGATCTACCCAATCCCCCCCAACCCTGTATTTGTCTCTGATCAATCATGTAATATAGAAACAAATTATTTAAAATTCAATATTAATTCTGTACGTTGTCATCTGCAGACACAAAGCTCATCTACATTATTTCTCAACAACTAATGATGCCACCCCATCAGTTACTACAACAAGAGTGATTATAACATCGCACGTCATCAAGAAGAACAAAGAGCAAATCATATGCTACTGTCAGGATGTGTCAACAAAAAAGACAAGTCATGGATTAATGATTTCTATGAAACAAGAGAGAATTTCTTGTATGTATAATAACCATACGCACCTCCTACCTTAACATTAGCATGGGTGGCGTAGGGGTTTACCTCTCCCCTCTCACTGGCTTAAACTGGATCATATGTGAGTTGAGTTTGTTTCATGTGTTCTATCCCTGGCCACCAGGCTTTTCTCCGGGTTCTTCGGTTTCCTCCGTAAAAATGTGAGTAAAGTGTTGTATGTTGTAAATATAGAATGCAGTGGTAGTGCGTGTGGATGGAACCTCAAGGAAGAGCCCTATACGGGGAATGGTGGTTGTATAATATTTTTTTCTTACCGGTTCAACCTTCGCCACTGTTTTTATATCCCAATCACTCCCCCTAACTTTCTTTTTCTCTGCTTCCACTGTCCTTCCCAGGTTTGTTTTTTGATTGTCTCCCGGCTGATCTGGCCATGCTTCTCCCTTCTGGGTGCCATTCTATAGCACCACCTTACAATCACTATATCTTTCTCCTCGCATAACATGTCCGATCTACGTCTCCTTATCTCTCTCTTATTCTATTCATGTCTGTTCTTTCGAAAATTTCTTTAATTTCTAATTCCTGCTTATAAGAATATCACAGTTAAATTTGTTTCAAAAACGTATTTCTCTAGAAATTCAAGAAAATTTAGCACATGTTGTGACGTCATTTTGTTTACAAGTCTCCAGATTTAGTTGCAAATACACGAAATTTGTTTGAATGCAGAATCTTAATTTCAGGTAGTACACTTTTCAGTTTCCCACCATTTGAAGAGTATTTCGTAAGCTATCAAATGAAGCTGAATAGAATATGCCTTTTGTTGTTATTTTATAAGAATTACAATTTATATTTAGTGCMTTTCTACCGAATCTAGAGTACGTGTCAACAAAATGACGTCACAAATTGSGCTTAATTTTCTCAMATATCTCAAGAAATAAGCTTTTGAAACAAATTTTATTACGACATATTTATTATTAYTAACAAACTATACATTTTAAACGATGAAATGTTTTCGTGTCATATACACTTTAACCTTAACCATCCTTTTTTTAAACCTGCATGAATTTTTGTAATAAATGTTTGAGGTTTAGCGCTTGAAAGCCATGCTAACTTGACAATTTCTTCTCATTATTTTAGCCATCTCTAACCACTTCAAACCAAAACGAAATCGCATAAAGACAGTTGCATTGCTTAGTTCAAACAAGATATCCTGGCGATTTCCTACAAATTCTTCCGTGGTACACTGCTCACACGATGGTCAGTCCTTGACAGAGGATCAAGTGGTTCGTGGAGAAGGCAAGATCTCAGTGGTAATTAACGAAGCTCTTCGTAAAGATGCGGGGTTCTACTACTGCAGATCAAAATCTGGTGACTTTAGCTCCTGGCTCAAGTTGCAAGTAAAGGGTAAAATAATAATACGTTTATTTTATTGATGAAGAATTATTCGCCATGAATTATACAAATGCAGGTCAATAAAATAAAATAAAAAAATTAGATTTTCAATATTGGAGCCCAAGGGATAGTGAACGGACTTCCATTGATAGGTCACGTGCCCAGACGCCCTTAAATCGACTACCATTGTGTTAAAGTGAACCAAAAATGAAAAGAGCACCTTGATGTTATTGAAAAGTGAAGTTAAGTTCAAATAATATCGAAAGGTTTCGTTTTCGAAAGGTTGAATTTCTGAGTTTCAATCAGCAATCTCATTATCTGCTCCCAAAGGCGGTCAAATACTGTCCGCCATGTGCTATCAGCTATAGAAAACTTGTTATAATTATATAGCTGATGATAACATCAAATGAAACCAAGAAATTGCTTGGCAAGCTCCTGCCCTCACCTCATTTTTAAAAAGGGCTGAGTCACGTGACCTGTTAGTACAAATAGCCTATTGGCTTGGATGATTAGAAAGAAGTGCTCCGCTCAATAAAATTGATGCTGCTTCATTCTTCTAGGTGGCTGGTCAAAATGGAACCCATGGCTTGCCTGCAGTAGTCAGTGCGGGGCAGGCAAAAAGATCGAGACCAGAAGATGTCTAGATTCCAGACTAGAACAGTGCCATGGATTAAGTGTTAGGGCTCTACCTTGTGTTGGTCGTTCTTGTGAAGGTTTGTCAAGAATCGATTTATTTGGTGATTGATAACAAAGTTACAACCTTGAGGAACATTTTACGAACTAAAAGTTTTCAGTGACTTTGCTTCAAAACAATGTACACAGAGTAGAGTTTGTTTTTATATCTAACATGTTTGTTGAATTTAACGAAAGATTTTTCACTTGTCAGTTATTTTTCATTTTATTAACTTTACAAGTGGGATGTTCTTTTCCTTCTAGGGATGCTGCCTCAGTTTATCGATGAGCCTGCAGACCAAGTGATACTCAATGATTCATCTACACATGTCACGTGTTCTGCTCATTATGGTGCCAGTGTTTTAACTGTGCAGATGTTCTGCTCCAGCAATGGCTCGAAGATTACTTATTCCATGACCCAAAACAAGACTACTGTAGGGAGTGTTCCCAACAATACTGTAGCAAGAGTAACGTACAAAGTTGAGCTTCATCGTGATAGAAGCAACCTCTCCGTGGTATACTGTCACTGTTACGCACTCACCAGTCAGTTGGCGAAGATAAGCAGGATTGCTAAAATCAGCTTTTTTTCGGGTAACTAGATCATGGCTTTCATTTTACATTTGCTTTTCAAAAGATAGATAGTTTTCACTGTCCATAGAGAATTAACTGAAAGTAGAGATGGCAGCCATATTGGTGTACTTAACAAAAGAAACTAATGACAAAGCTATTATCAAAGGTACACCAATATGGCGGCTGTGACGTCATGTCTGACAATAGAGATGGCAGCCAAATTGGTGGACCTAACAAAAGAAGCTAATGACAAAGTTTTTGTCAAAGGTGCACCAATATATGGCAGCTGTGACGCCATGTGAAAACGCTCTTTTGTCGCGCAGAAGCCAAAGCTTATTCCCACGAGAATGGTCCCCTTCACAGTTCCCCGCGCCATCGATCTTAAAAGGTAGCCGTGCATTTGCATCAAAGCGAGACGAACGGTGAGCTTTCAATGCAGACGCACAATAGAGACGTTAATAATTGGTTAATAAGGTGTTAATAAAAGCTATTTATAATTGCAAGTTCACTATTCGTCTCCCTTCGATTGAAAGGCACGGCTACCTTCCACGATGGCGCAGGGAACTGTAAAGGGACTATTAAGTTACGTCAGCCTAGAGCTAAGTCATTCGAAGCTAGCCGTGCGGAAATGGATTGTTCCATCCAACCTGGCTGCCTTGGAGAAAGGTCCATAGTGTTACTTCCATTCCTTCTTTAATCCATTTCCCATTAATACACTAATCTTTACCTTTTCGTTTACCAGTTAATGACGGTTACGAATCACCTACTGCTTCTGCTATGACTGAATCTCGAGGTAAAATATTTACACGAAAATGAAAGCAAATGCATGTTATAGTGTAATAGGTATTTTATGTATTTTATGCCTCGACAACCCATGACAAGCCCGTACTGATTACCTAGTGTTATGGTTTTCCCTAACAGAGGACTCAGCTGATAAACGATCTTGGGTAAATTCACTTTCTGCGAAATCATTATCTATAGGTAAGTTATTTTAAAAGTTTTTGCATCACGCCGGGCACAAATGACCTCAAAAACGGCACAGGAAAACGGCACCAAAATAAGGAAATCCTATTAATTTTATCATTCGACGCCCAACTAAGCTGAAATTAACATAGAACATTGGTGAAGTGAGAGATTATAAAACAATTTATTTCTAAGAGGTTTCTATGACGTCATATTCTGCATCTCCTTTTGTAATGGTAATTTCTTATCGTTGATCACTGTCTTTATCATTTGACTTGATTACATGGAAAGTGTTGTGCAAAACATTTCAATGCTTATGGGAACTCGCTACGACGGTTTTAACGAAAATTATTAAAGATTAAAGGATTTTGTGATTTCACCCACTTTACGTCATCTTGAATTTTAAAATACTCTTAAATGTTGTGGAACGAGTGACTTCTCCTAGAATTAAAAGCATGTGAAAAAATCTTATTGGGCTAACTTATAAAAACATTTTAAAATTCACGTGACGACATAATGACGTAAGCATTATTTATTTTCTTAATTATAGCGCTTGGGCTTCAATATTCAAAAACCTAAAAAGACACGATTTCAAATCTTTTTTCCCGCCATTTTTTGGCGGGAAAACTATGAAATTCAAAATTTCTATAACTTTTGACTGCCTTGACCAATCCGGATACGGTTTTCAAAACCGTGTTGTTTATCTCAAGAAACGTCTAAAAACACGTTTCACGAAGCATGAATCAGGTTCAATTATATGAAAAACTAAAAACTACTTATTTTAATCCGTCTGGTCAACCCTGATATTCTTGCGAAGTTTGATGAATTTCTGACTTGTAATTTAGAAACTACCCCAATCATGCCGATTTTGAGGTCATTTGTGCCTTAGTAATTCTCAATTGACACGGTTTTCTTTGTTATTCACAAGGCTTTATTTTTGTTATAACCCTCATTATAAATGCGAGGTCAATATATTGTTAGATATTAACCCGGCTAATAGAGAGTTTTAGATTTACGTTCACGGCAAACGTGAAACGTCAATTGGCCAGTAAAAAAAATATTTTAAATGACTGAAAAAGAATCGCAAAAAAGTCAAAGTAGTAGAAAAACAAAAGAGTATTTGCGCTTGGTGAAAAGGTTTGTAAAAGGTCAAGTAAAATAAAGGAAAACTATGAAAACGTGGTCACGTTTGCCGTTTGCGGGGAGAAAAAAAAGTCAATCTAAAACTCTCTAATAACTATATATAGACTTCGCATAACTGAGCACTGAGCAAGACTTGACAGAAGCCTTCTCAATAGACCTTATTCGTGGTGTGACAATGTTTTCCCAATTCAGCGTGGCAAACCGACCTCTGGGGGAATGAAGAGCTATTGTTTTGAAACTCGTCGAGATATCATCGTTATTACATTCGTATCCTTTGGAATACTCATGAATTTTTCGAGGAGTAAAAACAAAAGAAAATGAATCCCTTGGAGGTTCGTCACGCTGAATTGGGAAAACATTGTCACACCACGAATAAGGTCTATTGATAAATAAAATGCTTAATTACTTCTAACGTCGGCAATAAGTCTATACATCCCTCGGGCCTGCGGCCCTCGGGATGCATATATATGGCTTATTGTCTCCGTTCTCGGTAATTCACTCTTACATAGTGCAATATTATATTAAAACTTTAATATTCAACCAATGGAAACAATATTCAAATCTACCAATGGAACTGAGAGCCTTTTAGAAAATGGAGGAGAATTGTATGGCTGTGGGGACAAGGGGAAAGACTAGGGATGTCGAGGGGATYCCCAGGCCGGGTACAAGGGGGAGGGACAGACAGTTATTGAAGCTTATTGAAGAGGGCTGTATGGCTCCGGGGAGAAGGGGAAATACAATGGATGTCCAGCAGGGCATGTATTCCCAGGGACCAGGGGATGGGAGAGACACAAATGYTGTTAATACATAAGACGTGTAAGTGGCGAACGATTCTAATACAACTTTATTTTTTCGCATTTATAGGGTTAGGAGCCCTCATCTTTGCCTTAATGATCTGCGTTTTGGCATTTTTGATTCGCACCAGGATTAGAAAGCATCATAGCACTGTATCTAATCCAACGAAAACGATAAGTTCCTTATCTGGAGGAACCCCTCATGATATTGAGTCTGATGATACTGAAACAGTGAGACATTCGGAGCCCCCAGAGACAAAAGTAACAACACTTTGTTCAAGTGTTTCCTCTGAGAACGAAGACATGCGCGAAAGCCGAGCTTCAAACAGTCCCTTGCTTGAGTGTTACCCTCAAAAGCACTCTGAACCTGTTAAAGACTGTACACCACACCACTCAGATGACATGGGTCGAGAGACTGAATGTGACAATGAGAGTGTCTTTTACCGTGGAGGGTCGTGCAAAAGTAACAAATCTAATATGTCGGCCTTTTCCAGTGTGTCTTCTGGTTTTTGTCCAAAACCTAAACTGCCCGATACGATCGACCCCGACCTTTGTGCATGGGGGCAGTTTACCGAGAAAGGGGGACGACTAAAGATTGAAGGAACAGGTGTCAGCCTGTATATTCCACCCAATGCCCTTCCCGAACAGACGTCGCATGTCATATACATCGGGCTGATGAACTCTAAAGGAAACCATCCAAAGCTTAATAATCATGAAGCTCTTCTCAGTCCAGTCGTTGTTTGCGGCCCTGATGGATTAACATTTGACAAGCCCGTGTTTCTTACTGTACCACATAACGCGGTTTTGGACGAAAACAACTGCTGGAATCCAAAAGGTAAAACATTGTAATAATAATGAAGCAATTGCTGGTTTTCATTCAGCTGATAAGTTTTTTTTACATCTCTTTATCTGCTCCAAATGGTAATCAAATACTGACCATCATGTGCTGTCAACCAGAAAGAATTGTATTGAAAACTTGTGATTCATCTTATGAACATTCTGCACGAGACAGGAAATGACGTCAAGTAAAACCCAGCCATATCAAAGAATGAATGTAAACAATATTGCTTACTATCAATCACGTGACTTTTTGGAGTTGACTGGGGGGCAACTAGCGGATGCCAAGTCAAAACATATCAAAATAAGTCCTCAGACTATTGTATTTGACTATTTTCACGACATGAAATCAGAAAACAAGAGATCAAAACAACCTCCAGGATTCTACAAGCCATCAAAAAAGAGCTATTACCGGAAGTGACGTCTATTGATAGCAACCTATTGCAAACTAAGCCTTTTATGTCATAAATCTGAAAGCTAGATAACGATAGTGTCGGCGGTCACAGTTTCAATGCGCCATTTTGAAAGGTAATCGTGCTTGTGCATTGAAGCGAAGACGGCGGATACCTCGCAATGATAGAGACCTTTTTTAACACCTTGGACGATTATTCCTATGTCTTTATCATTGCAAGGTCACCACCGTAGTCGTTTCGATGCACAGTCAAGATACCTTTCAAGATGACCCAGGGAATTGTAAAGGGGCTATTATAAATAGAGTTTTATCTGTTTTATATCAGTTCAAAGCTGTAGTATTGTAAACGAAGAGGAAAGAGAGAACAAATGGAAGGTTCTGGAAAGACCCAGTGGAGATGTGCCATTAAGTCACGTGAGTGACAAATACATGCAGATCATGGTCGACCACTTCACCAACTTTGCAGTGGTTGGAGAGGCAAGCTGCTCTAAAGAATCAGCCGCACAGCTCAACGCATGGATTATCGTTTACTATACTAAACCCGAAGGCGACGAAGACTGTATAGCAAGAGTTTACTGTGTTCCAGCCACAAATGCAGCCACTAAGGTAAGCAAGAACTAGGATTGGTTAACGCATTGGTAGCGTGCATCCCTTGCATGAGAATAAAAGGACGAAAGACGTGCCAGCCATGTTAATTGAAGTGCGAAAACACACCAAGACCAAATCTTAACCAAAATGACGGCACTTGCACCCCAAGAATATCCCATCGCAGTCCCCGCTTTACGTTCGATCGCAGAACCTTTCATTCTTACTGCGTATTCTCCATAAAATACTAGGCCGAAGAAGAGAGAGGACTGGGTTCCCTGGGTCTAAGCCACAAATACTCTTTATATTATTTCATTTCATACTGCTTATTGTCACCAGACTCTTGAGGGAATTGAAATTAAGCTCGATGGCARGAAGTCAGACTCCCAGAAGGTACTCCAAATCATCAACAACAATAAAGATCTGCAAATCACTAGCAAAATTATCCATGTGGGATGGTCTGCCCTTACACAGGAACAAAAGGTGCATMACGAAGTTATTCGTTCTTGTGCAATGCTTTTTACTCTCTTTTTGAATAATCTTTATCAAAAACAAATTCAATACATTAATATCGTTTAAATGAATTGCGGTACGAATGGGACGTGCCGTGGCCGTCAGGGTTCCTTATCCCAGGATTTTGTTTAAACGTAACCTCGCGCGCTGCATCTGCTAAACAGGTAGGGTGGCGTAGCGTCGAGAGCGCTCGCATTTTACCAATGTGACCCAGGTTTATTTCCCGGACTCGGTTTCTTATGTAAGTGTAGTTGGTTGTTTTCTCCTCTACTTCGAGGTTTGTCCTCCGAGTTCTCCTGTTTTCTTCCCTCCTCTACAATCAACTTCTAGATTCCAATTGCAATTTCTGTTGATGAAGGGCTACTCTGTAGAAATGTCACGTCTAATTAAATCAATTTTGTTTAACTATTGATTTTCCTAGTTTAGTTCAATAGCCCATTTCCGAGATATGCTTCGTTTGTCACGCACAAAGGTTTCAGTATGAGGCTACGTGCTAAATGCTCAGTCATTCGTGACAGGCGGTAGGAATAAATTTAATTTAGCACGTAGCCTCATACTGAAACCTTTGTGCGTGACAAGCGAAGCATATCTCGGAAGTGGGCTATTGTGATGTCAATCATTTCTATGTTTTTTATCCATTGACAAGATGAAATTTAATAAACCAATACTGCGTAAATAAAATTCTGGTGTACCAACATCAACTGCATTCTTATCTCTTTATTTGTCAGTCCATACCTTTCAACGTCGTCTGGCAGTGCACCGAACAGTCACCGAACGTATCGTTCATCTTTGAACGAACTTCTCCAGAAGTGTTCAAGTTTCTTAGCACCTTTGATGCCAGACAAGAAGAGTCCGACACAGGTGTTGAAGTAAATGTGTCCTTTTGTATCAAGGTGAGTTGACATGGTAACCAGTCAAAATGTTAATGAACCGCTAAATATACTGTGACGTAATATCTAATCCATAGATGAGAACGATAGGAACGATCAAAGTCATGGCACGGCTAACTCACAGATCAACGAAGAAAAACACACACACACACATAAAAGAAAACAAACAGACAAACAAACAAACTGGGTTGATCTACGTCAGGGCACGGCTAACTCACAGATCAAAGAAGAAAAAAGCACACGCACACGCAAAAGAAAACAAAACAAACAAACAACAACAACAACAACAACAAAAAACAACTTCTGGGCTGATCTACGTCAGGGCACGGCTAACTCACAGATCAAATTGGGATTTAGCGTGTGAGGTTTTGCACTAAAAGGAAAACCAGAGAACCCGGAGAAAAATAATCAAATCAAGGAAAAGACCTATCAAACTCTACTTACATATGATGCCGGGTCTGAGAATCAAATCCGAGACCCCAGAGGTGAGAGGCGAATGCACTACCGCTACACTATCCTTGGAGTTTACAGCTCATCCAGTCAAAATCCTAGGGCCCCTTTACACGGTCGTTGCTGCAATTTTCGGTTTGTAATTATGGTTCATATGGTGTACTCATTTATCTTTATACTAGGATAGTCGAAGGACTTCATCTGGGTACGGATCCCAAGCAAATGGCTGCCAAACAGATATCAAATTCAAAATTCCCAGTGAAATTCGTGGTGAACTCTGTAATCTCCTGGATCCAGAAGAACCGTTGCGGTTTAATGACTGGAGACAATTTGCAGAAAAACTAGGAAAGACCAAAACTTATACGAATTCCTTGAAAACAAAAAATATATCAAGCCCAACTGATAATTTGATAGAGATGTGGGAAGGGACAATGTCTGAAGAAGTACCTCTGTCACAGTTACTAAAAATATTCTACGAGATGGAAAGGCTTGACGTGGTCGGAGTGCTGAAGAAAATCCCAGGTTTGGAGAACACAAGCTAGGAGCTATCTTGCTAATTTACGTCTGTGTACACTCAATAGGACTTTTTCAACTAGCAGTCACGTTCTGATATATGTCGCTTGGGGAAGGCAAACTTTAAACTGCTTCAAGTCTTGAAATCGAAAATATCGTATAAGGGAAAAGAAGTATTTTTGAAAAGGTTTTGGATTGGGCATTAGGAATCCAGCAAAATAGATTTCATATAAAGTCCAAATCATTTTTGCCATCCAGTAGCAATCACGTGTCAATCTATTGCAAAAGGCCTATTGCAACTGAATCATTGTCGGCTTCAAAAAATAGAACATAGAAGGTGAGATCGAAATGGCACATGGGAAGTACGATAATACAATGCATGTTGTGATGACTCGTGGATGATTCATGCCAAAACGGCAATCAAACGCGGAAGTCATCTGTAAACGCTATTGGCATTTTGTCGTTGTTAAAATGAATAGATCATAATAAATAGACGTAATTACCTTCGTATATAAATTGCCCATTTTAAACTATGTGATGTTTACATGATGCTTCTTTATCTTCCTGAAATTTATTCGTTCATATTTATGTGGATATGAAGACATTTGAAAGAAACATTTCTCCAGAGAACATCATGTAAACAACATGGTTTGAAATGGGCAATTTGCATACGAAGGAAATTACATCTACTATGCTATTTCTCAGAATGTATACCTTTCGGTGTAAGCTTCTATTTTCTATGTTTTGGTCCCGACAATAATTTTGCAATTGAGTGCATAGAAAGCCCTAATAACATCCTGACCTCGTTTCGCCTTCGAACGATTTGTCCTAGGTTGGGATAGATAGACATTAACTGATGCTGTTGCTTTTTCAGGTTTCCTTTGTAGTTGTTTTAGTGGTAATGGGGTAGAATTGCGTAGATAAGCTAATTTTTTTTATATGAAAAAATGCATTCATGTATTTTTGTATTTTTGTATCGGCTCTTTTYGAAGAAACACCTACAAACGATTACAAAAAAAAAAAACAAAAACAAAACAACTTTTTTTGAATTTTGAAAAGAGATGTTTTTATACTTCAACTTCAATGCTCAAAATTGTTAGTGATATAAAAAAAAGATTTGATATCATACTAATTAGACAAATTTTGGTTTCCTTTTTCACAAGAAAAGTTGATAGTGAGAGTTAATAATTGTGTTTGCTAAGTAAAAATGTAATTAAAAAAAAAATTTTAATGTTTTTTATCATCGGCTCATTTATGTATTTATTATGTATTTACTTATTTATTTTTTAATGTATTTTATTGTCGGCTCATTTATGTATTTTATGTATTTTTTATTTGTTTTTTTTTTATTTTTCATTTTTTTAATGTATTTTATTATCGGCTAATTTATGTATGTTTTGTATTTTTTTATTAATTTTTTAATGTATTTTATTATTGGCTCATTTTTGTATTATTTATTTGTTTGTTTGTTGTTGTTGTTGTTTTTTTTAAATGTATTTTATTATCCGCTAATTTATGTATTTTATATATTTTTTATTTATTTTTTTTAATGTATTTTATTTTCGGCTCATTTACGTATTTTATGTATTTATTTATTTATTTATTTTTAATGTATTTTATTTTCGGCTCATTTGAAAACAACACAACTGACAAAAGGAAATTTCATTTCTTTTGACATTTTTCGAAACTAAACTTGATTACTTTGTAATATTTCAATTTCTCGAAATTGAAAGTTATTGATAAGGTTGAGGAATAGTATAGATAGATAGAATAACACGTTCTGTGATTTTTATTTGATAGGCTAATACATAGTTTTCTCTTCATTTTGTCTAAGACTGAAGTAAAAATGAGATGATGTTTGGTTAAAGTATTCTGCAGTTATGTCATTTTGCTACAGGGATTTTTTYCCCAGACATTTACAGTGCGAATCGAAAAACCGTGGCACCTAGAAATCGTCCTGGAATGTTCTATTGTTCTTTGGCCAATCAGAATTGACTTTCTAACCACAAGATGATGGAAAGATAACAATGTCTCTGATTGTTCAAGAAACATTCTTGAAATATTTGCCCACATAGGTGCCCACATTTTTTCGATTAGCACTGTAACTCTAGTGACACGTTTTAAGACAACCAAGCTATGCAATCTCGATTAAGGAGTGAAAAAATATTTTTTTWAAAGTACAAAAGATTGATCTGTATCTGTTTATTAAAGCATAGATTTAAATCAGTAAATTTGTATAACATTTATTGATCAATGATCAATGGTGTGTTGTATTACTACAGACTGTCTTCATTGCCACGCATGCACACTGATAGAGACAGAAGTCACGACAGGTAAATGAGCAATCGTCAATTAAAGAAATCGTTCCCATGTACCTTTAAGTACCCTCACGAACAGCGAAAAACAAGTCAGCGGTTGTTCACCTGCTTTCTATAAAATAAATGCCTATACGTCGAATCAAAATATGGCGACCATTTATTGTTCTGGACTTACTAGCATCGTGTTCACATTGAAACACAAAAGCGTTTTCACACGTATGAGAGGCTAGTCAGTCCAGAACAATAGTTATTCAAACTGGTCGCCATATTTCGACTGGGTGTATGGTTTCGAAGACATCTCAAAAACAGCTACAAAATAACAAATGTTAAGCTTATTTCTTGAAAGTTAAGAAAAAATGTATGTCGAACTCTTCTAATGTCAATCTTTACTAAACCTCGACCGCTTTTCGTGTGAGATGCAAAGTTTTCAAGCTTTCTTGGACAATTTGTTACATGCGCATTCGTTTTTCACCACGGTCATCCTCAAACTGACAGTACTCTACTGCTGATTAACCTTTTGGGACATTTGTCTCTATTAGCGCATAACAGTAGTACAATTCATCTAGCTAATACAGTACATTAACCTAAGGGTTGACTAGCACTGCACATTGTGTGGCCAATCACAGTACTTCTTGACCTTGTTGTAATTCAATCCAGGCGGGCAGCTCTTGTGATAAGCTACACCAGAAGCACATACAACATACTTACTGCAGTCTGCTGGTTCAGGGTAGTACCCGTCGGGTGAAGAGGAACAGTCTACTGAACCTAGAAATACAACATACAAATGTAATCATCTAAATAACCGACTGGTCCCTAGCCGTCACGTGATTATTTTGTATTATAGGCAAGATTAAATAATAGACAAAACTTTTCTAGGGCAACAAAATATCCTGTATATAACATCATTGTCTTACTCAGGGTTTATAGAAAATGAATAGATTTTTTCCCCTCATATAGTAAACAGTGTGGTGCAATTTAAAAACGATGAGAAGCAAACTTAAATTCCTATAATGACATCACACTTATTAACACATTGGAAGTATAAACCTTGATATCTTCAAGATGCATCACTCAAATCATATGAAAATCTTTTACCATTCAAATATCCACTTCATGTATAATCAATACTGCAAATATTAAGTGAGGTGGTATAGGCACTTTAATACATTCACTCGGGCTCCCTAACGCTCTATATGCGTGTAATGCGTGACTAGTTGTCACTAAGTGTTTTATATGCGTGTAATGCGTGACTGGCTTACCAGTAGGGGTGCTTGTAGTAGGTTTAGCGGTAGTCACAGGAGCCTGTGTGGTCACCACGGGTGGCTTTGTCGTCGTGACTGGTGGTGGGTTAGTAGATGGCGCCTGCGTAGGAGGAGTTATGGAACCACCGCTGACCAGTTCAAATGCGTACTCACTGTAGTGTCTACCGTTGATAATGTTGTTCTGGTCCCAGGAGCACTCCCAAAACATCATGCCACCTACGCCGGGCTTGTCGCGAATTTTCTAGCGACGAAAGCAACAAAGGAGTAATCTTTTAAAATAAAAAATCACTAATCTTTTAATGATCTAAAAATCATTATTTCTAAGACGAAGCAGTCTTGTGAAGCCTACGTTTTAAACACGTAGTTTGCGCAAGTTTTTACATAATTTCTCTTTTATTTTGGGTGTAATGTTTTCCAATTTTCAGGACCTGTGACGTCTCTTTATACAGTATTATTTCTTTTTTAACGAATTCGTTAGAGAACACACATGAATATGGACTAAATATCAAAAAACCTCAAAGAATCTTATTCTCGAAAGAATTGCACGTGAACTGAAATGAAAATGGGAAATTTGAAATGTCCAGAATAATTCTTAACACCTCACCTTAAAGTCATGAAAAAAATATGATCCCCCTAAGCAAGGCTTGTAGCTTC